TATTGCTCGATTAATAATACCGGACACTTTAATACAAATTGAGCTTCATCGGTTCCATTTTTTGGTAACTTTATCTTATAATCAATTCGTACAAAATTTCCGTCATTTTTATTTCTTAGATTTTATAATAAATACATTCTACAAATTATTTAAAATATTGTCTGTCAGTATAGTAAGGGTCGTTTGAAGTTTAAAAATATTCGTATCATTGTGCTTACATGAAACTCATACACGTATTCGTATAAGCTGTCATATTTTCATTACATCGTATTTACACTGTAATTAAGAATAGTTAACTCTAAATGAGATTTAATTAAGATTTTATGTGTGTTTAATTAAAGCTTTTTCCACAGTAATCAATTAAAAAAACATTTTTGTAGCCATGTGTACTAGATGAAACAGCTCTTACTGCAAAAGTTGCTCGCAAACTACCGAACAATTTGTGTTAATCATTTTGTACGGCAGACTGTCGTCGGGAAGATACCGTTCCTCGAGACGGTCCCGTGACTTCGTGTCCGGTGTCGTCCGGTCTCGAGTGGCTGGCTATTGTTTTCCTGACCGTTTCGTTTGTCGTTTGCTGTCACTTTGTCGTTGCACTTGTGCTTCCTTGGTGCGGCTGTTTTCTCGATAGAGAGTAATAAATCGCAAACAGGACGATATGCTTAGCAGCTCGCCAAAGTCGAACGTAATGATATTTGTCCGAATGAATAAAATAACGGTGGAGTTTGCATATAAGATAGACATATATACCACTTTAATTTGCACGTTACTCACGAATTGATTTAACGTAACGTAGTAACTTACTGCAATCTTGTAATCTTGTCTATGAGAGAGACAACGTAACAATCTCGTTTTAATTAAAATCAATAAAACTTTTTATAATTTGAAATTTATAAATTGAACAAGATTATTGAGTAAATAAAGTAATGAAAATATAGAGTGATTATAATTCTACATTAATATGTGCAATATTTAAATAAGCACAACTTATATTTATCTGTGTCTATACATAGTTATTTATTTCTGAAATACATGCGGAAAAAATATTTGTTTTGATTGCAAGTTACAGAATTCCATTCTGAGATATACAATAATAAATATTGCCTACATTTATATATATAATATTGCAATCCAAAAACTTTTCTGAAAATTGCACAATATAGTATGATATATAATGAGATTGCGTTTGTGAGTGATTATTTTGTTCTGCAATGCATTTTTTGATATCGAATTGCTTGTACGTGGACTTATAAATCGCATGTTCAAATATTTGGAGATTTTATAAAAAACTACTTTCACTTCGAATTTTAATTATCTTATTAATGACTATGGATGCTGGTATTACCACTATTTCTGCTAAACGTGCTTAGAATTAGCCACGATTGCATATGATTGACCCAGTTCCCTAAGCTAGCCACCAAACGAGTCTCGCCGCGTACGAAGGGAAACATTACATGGCGTAAAATGTTTCGTTTTTAATGCACCTGTGCCTCTCTTATCTTTAATAAAAAACAAGTGACGTTACCATTTATTTCTGTTTAATAGGAATTAAGTTATTGATCTTAAATCAGCGCAACATGACGAATATTGATAACGTTAATTTCTCTCTTTCTCTCTCTTTCTCTTTTAAATCCGCTCTAATTTTACTATTATTTAATAATAATAAATTTCAACTGCTGTGAGACAAGACCGTGCAATAGGCTTTTTATAAAAATCAAGTTTTATCATTTTTATGTTTGTAACTAGTAGAATAAAATAATTTATCGCTTAGCAATTATACTGGTAAACGTTGTATAAAGTTTTTACTGTTTTGCTTTCTTATTCTTTCTCCATATTCAAGAAGTGATGCCTTACATAACGCTCAACGTATATTTTTGCGGCTCCACCTAGAAAAATATTTGTCGATTGCAGATAAAAGCAATCTATAAAAACATATCACGCGATGTATCATCGATACTTGGTCTTAGATTTTTTTTCACAAGAGGTCGATCTTAGTTCTTGAGACCAGTTTATCTTGAATCAGATAAAAGACATATTTAATTAAAGCAAAGAAAGTCACTCGAGTCAAACTAGCAAGATACATGATATGCTCTTTTCTTGGCGAGTGATAGTTTCACTTGCAGTATCATTCGGAGATATAAAAGAATGGAAGGTGTCGACGGATGAGACAAGAATAACTGATGTAAACGATACGTATTCAACGTCATCCTTATTACCGAGCGTCGTTCATTACGTGGCAAAGTATAAAAAATTTGCGCAATTAATGAAAATATTTCGGAAGATACGTTGCTTAGATGTCGGAATAAATATGAGATCACTGTCAAAGTTCGTTATTAATTTATTGCGGGGCATTATTCTATGGCGCCGCACCTTATCATCGTTGGCGTTGTCGAGAACATGATCAAGCACCAAAGAACAGGCCAACACGCCCGTGGTGGCACACGGTAACCTTTTTTCTGACATTTCTGCCTCATAGGTTGGTTTATTCGAAAGGTTAAACCGTCGCGCTCTTGAATATCTAGCGCAGCGAGAACAGAAAGAAAGAAAGAAAGAGAGAGAAACGTCTGCAACGGTTCTGGTACTCTTTTGCCGGGTAATCTCTCCTTCCTGTCGAAGGTCGGACGCAAGTCAAATGTTCGTTCGTCGAACCGTATCGTGAGTTCGGAACATCTTCGCCAAAGTGCGTATCGGATAGTTGGTCGACCGCTCGTGCGTTGCATGAGGCCAGGTAGTCATCCAATCAGAGCGAGAAGGAAACAAAAGAAAGGTGAAAAGAGTTATCGCCCCGTGAGATCGAGCCTACATCCTGTATCCCAACTAGAAAACTTAACTGGCAAAATTCTCTTTAACCCGACGTGCAATTATTATCGATCGATTGTTAAATCGTCGTTCCTTCATTTATGGCGTCTTTCTGTTCTCGCGTTTTGAAGTACGATTCTCTCGCTCTCCTCTCGATAGTTCTCGCGTGCTCCGTGGCCCGAAAAATCATGGATCGATGAATAAAGAGGTGCCGGGTCACAGAGCCGCGCTTCGCTATTATCATCGCTCCTCCGTTGGCTCGCCGAACATCTTGTTCCGCTTTTCATACAATTACTCACGTCGCGCGAAATCGTCCTTGCCCGACTTCTCGCCTTTCGAGAACGCGTTCGAGAACGTCGCACTCGTCGGAATTTAATAACGTATTCTCGCATACACCGATCGCGTTCAACGAGCATGACTCCTACATTACATATTATACACATTCTCGCGAGAGCGTATATGGTTCGCGACCTTACCTTCCATATGAGAGTAGTACAATTCTCTCTTTCATGAGATGCCGATCGCTCGACGCCATCATCAGCATACTGATTCTGCATAAAATCATGTGTATAATGTAGGCTTTTCATAAATTCAGCCATTTTATTAAAAAAACCTAGTCTTTTTACTAAGCGTCGAATTTTTATAAAGCGATATTTTATAAGAAAAGTTTAGGCTTTTTATATAAAAAAAATTAAAGAGTTTCAAAGAACCTCCGACAGATATATAATTCGACAATAAATTTTCTGCGTTTAGTATGCCTCGGGAGATCTCGAAAGAATTGCTAGTAACGTGTCTCCGTGTCATTTAAAAGCCGCGTTATTCAGGAAAAGTCACATGTAAATCACTCGTAAATCAATCTTAGTATAAGTACCGCTAGATTTGCAATGATAATCTTATGATAATATATACGATTCGGTTGAACAAACGATGGAAAAAATAATTAACGATGCGGGTAATCCGAAATCGCCGTACATATAGTGGTTGATGCTGCGATCCTTAGAGATTTACGAGTTTGCGACACCGGTGGAGCGCTAACAAAAACAGCGTCTCTTTCGTTCAGTACCTCGTTATCTCTCTTGCTTTGATTTCCATATTGACGATAGACCATTTTACAACCCTATTTTATGGGCACGTGTGGATGTAGCTATTAAATTTTCTAATGACATAATTCACGTTACAATTGGCGTTTACGGTTATAAATGTTCTACATCGGGATTTATATGCTTTGAATAACACGGAGCGCGAACAATTTGGCGAATGCTGTTTATAAACTGGTTGGGAATATAATCTGAACGATAAAAAATATTTTTTTGCGTGAACTGTACACATACAGCTGTACATACATGTTTGTATCGAGCTTTCGGATAACACACTCCGGTGTATCGTTCTGTCAATTATACTTTTTGTTCTCGTTCGAAAGAAACGGTAATTACGAAAAATTATATGGAACCTATCTATGTCAAGGAAGCGAGATTAACCAACAAGTTAGAAATTATGTCGGCGGTACGAACAATTTTAAATTGTGCTTGATTGTCGTTGATTGATACGCGTAAGAGACGCTCCAAGGATTTTCGAGATTATTTCGCGCAGCGTTTCGGATTTCCGGACAATCTATCGATCTTGGTGAGCCGTATCGCCTACGCAAAGATTAAACTGTATTTACAGATTATCTCTAATTCTCAATTAATCGAACGCGGGATAAGTACGCTGCACGAGGGACATTGCAGGCGCATCGGCTAATGACGATGTTATGTACTCGGCAACGGAGGCGGCTATTTACCATTCAATTATGTTGCAATTATGATACCGTATGTGCCTCGTATCTTAAACTACGCGATGCCATTTCAGCAACAAACGCTTTAACCTGCTCAAGACCTTTAATAATTGATAATCGCAGAATGAGCAGTACGGAAAGAGTCGCGGACTCGTGTCTCCAAACACACTAACAAGTTTTGATGGCAAAAGGTAACGATAATAATATCATTAGATTTATCGTCATCCTCAAAAAATTAAAATAACGATATATACGTATTATTTATCGATTATGAAAAATAATTGTTATAATATTAATTATATATAACGGTTCACAATTCATTATATACAATATTATAGCACTAATTAATCATAATCGATAAATAATAAAGGTGACTAATATGAAATATCCAGTAAATGTAAAATAAATATTATGTAATCAAACTCACCCTTGATGAGGAGCTGGCCTTGGTGGAGGTGGCAAGGACTTTCTACCGGGCGTATTCTGTCGTGGTGCTAAAGGCGGTGGCGGAGAATTAGAAGAACCCATGCTGTATCTTTCCGTCGGGCATTGAGACTGAGATTTCTGCTTAGATACATCCATGTATTTCGGCGGTAATGCATAGTAAGTATGAGTACTTCTTTGCGTCGCGTCGCTAGAACGCTGATGGTGGTTAGGAACGTATTTCGGCGGTTCGTGATACTTCTGAGGATTTGATTCCGAGGGGAACAGCTTCGAGCTGGCCTCGTACCCTGTTTTAACCGAATTGCCAATGGAAAAGCTATGATTTGCGCTTTTCAGGTACTTGGACGGGCTCTTCGCCGCCTCCGTCGTTGACAAATAATTCGGTCTTGATGATGGATTCGCGGTAACATTTTTATCCGCGTTCTTAGGCACTTGAGGCTGCGGTCTCTGGCCTGAAGAAGATTCTAATCTCTGGTCAGCATCGTTTCTCAATAAACCGGACGCGTCGACGCGCGTTCCATCGATTCGCATCGATTCTTGCCTAATGATTCTTGGCTCCACTGGAACTTGCGGCGCGGGTCTCTGATTCCCAGAATCGCTGTATCTCTGCGATATGAGATCAGGCAATTGCGCCGCAGGTCTGGCTGAGAAAAGTCTTTCTTCGGATATTCTTCTTGTGGACGCTATCCTTCCGTTTACCATAAGCTTCTGAGTAGAAGGATATCTCAAACTGGAACGTCCTGTAGCTACCATTCTATGCGTGGCAAAGCCAGCCGACACTCCGTTCTCCAACACCATTTCCGAATCCACGTGTTTCAGTCCCATGGAAGATCTAACGAATTGATGTTGTTCCTGCTCTTGCACACTTGTTTTCGTCGAATTCGGGGCGGATTTGCCATTGGACTTATCATGATCTCTCTTGCCGTTATGCTTCGATCTTTTCATGGAATGTCTTTCCGACTTGTGTCGCTCGCATGACCTTTCACGACTGATTTTTGCTGTTTCCTCCGTCTGGTGGTGAATGCTGTTATTTGATTTACGTTGACCCTCCGTGAAAGAATCATCGCTGAGCTCAGGCGGTGGAGGCGGCAATGGATCGTCGCAATCGTGGACCTCGCTCTCCGTGATCGTCGGCGGTGATGGCGGCGGCAAATCGGGACTAGGCATGCGTTCGTTGTAAGCGTTCCTCAGATGTGCCTTTTTAGGCGGTCTCTCGGGTACCCAGTCGTCTATCGATATAGCCGGACCGACTATCACAGGACCTAATAAATCTGTAGAGAGACTGCTGCAACTATTGCTGTGCTGATGCTTAGGAGTCGGTAAATCGCCGTTTCCTTGACTCTGACCTCTGTTGACATTTTCCCTCCATGTACCACTGGCATAGTCTGACGCCGAACTGGCTCTTCGGGACGAAGATAGTTTCGGTCGAGGAGGAGGCTGCGGCGGAGGACTCTGAGGACTCTGAGGAGCTGGCGCAGGACCCTGAGTTAACTGAGGTTCCGATCGCCAAGACGCTTGATGTCTCTCGTAGAAGGACCACAGTGCTTTCTTTTGGATTGCTTTTAAAGTAGGATCGGATACTCTGTGACGTTTTTCTGGATCTAGGTAAGTGTAACGCATTTGTTGCTGTTGTTGTTTTTCCAATTCATTGATACGCTCAGCTACTGAAAGTTGTGGTTGTGGCGGTGAACTTAAGGTCATTCTGAAAAACAGAAAAATGTTGCAAATATAATTATAGTTACAATTTGTGATTATATTATAGAAAAAAATAATATAACTATAAAAAATACGTTTTTTAATTATTATATATACCTTGAAGATTGCGTGGATTCTTGCGGCTGCGTCGTACTGACAGGATAAAGTTTCCGTTGATTGCGTTCGCGATCCAAATACAGCACGCTTTCTGAATGATGCCGCTGTGGAGTTTGCACTCTCGCGCTGTGAGCGATTAATTGCTTGCTACATTGAATTCCATTAGTTTGACTTACATCGGACATCGATCCGTGTATAACGTTCCAGTTTTCGGAGCCCTGCGGGCTCGCAGTTCCAACTTGTTGACGCGTAGGACTTTGCGGAGCATATTTGTCGCTTTCAAGTCTGCTTGAATTGTCCCACTGATTCGCTTGCGATCTTTCATTCGAATCGTCGTCGATGTTAGATTCCTGCCACTTGCTCTCTCGAACCGATGATGTTTGACAGATATCGTTGATCGACGCGGACGTCGTCGTGCAATGACCGATTACAGCTGGCAAGCTAGGTCTACCTTGCCCCTGTTTGTTTCGATCGTTCATCGAAGTTTGCCATTTGTCGAGGCTGTATCTTCCTTTCGAAACCATTCCGGACGTGCTGACATCGCTCATAGAACTCTGCCATTTCTCATGGCAAACATTGTTCGATTTTTGAGTTAAAATTCCCCCGTTTACGCTGCTAACATCTGACATGGATCCATGATGCCATCGATCCGATGCCCCTTGTCGAGGAGGCATACCGCTCGACACGCTAACGTCCGACATCGAGCCATGCCATTTTAAAGTCTCGCTGCTAGAAGCGCTACCACTGGATGTAGTCACTACGCTATCTCTTCCTTCTCGAGAGGTGTCTTCCCAGGATGCCGCGGGCCTTTGTGCTACTGCCTCGCTGTCTCTTCTCAATCTGATAAGGGGAGCAATCTCTTATTACAAAGATATCACGTGATGTTTGATGTTAATGAGATGGTGTATAAAGACAATCTTACCTGTCGAGGAACGGCGTGTTTGTCGTAGAATCCACGCTGGATACATAACTGTGATATCCTTCGGATTGTGCGTAGCTGGCTTGTTGAGAATGCTGTACTCTCGTATATTCTTCGAGACCTGCTTGCGTTAAGGTTGTTTCGCGGTAAAGATCCACCTAATGGAGAATGAAAATAATTAAATATTTGCAGTCTCTCTAAGCATTTTGTTACGTTTCTCGGGATATTTATTCGGTTATATTCTTACCTGGGACACCTGAGGATCCTGATAGCTTCTTACATAAGCTTCCAGCTCAGCATGATTCAAAGTCTGAGACTGCTGTTCCCGTTCCGGCGGTGATGGAACTACGTATTCCGCATCTCCCAAAGCTTTACCTTCGCGATCTACGCGCGGCCACAATCTCGACATTGCTTCTTCCTCGACATTGCTTCTGTTGCGTGACTCGTAAGTCTCAGCTGGGATCTTCTCGCAACGCTCCATTACCGTCTTCAACTGCAATATTCAATTTTTGCAGAATAATAGAAAATCATAAATGTACTTAGAAAGTAGCAGCTTAAAATAGCACTTGCTAAAGTATCTTTTATTTCGGAGTTTACTTTCACAATATATAAGTAAAGTTAAAAAAGTAGGATGCGATACCCGATAAAAAAAATATTTTATATAAATGTTTATGCGTGTTAAAAAATATAAATACATTAGAAAAATAGTCATACATTAAATAGCACATTTGCCTGCTATATAAATAACGATTAGCTTGTAGCCAAAGTATTCTATGACTCACGACGTCATTCACTCTCGCATGAAAACAAGAAAAAAATGTCAATCTTAAAATATACATCGGCACGAAGAGAGCTAAATGCGTGTGTTCTAAAATAGGAACTGCGCCAGATTAATAAAATTTTATGATCGGCGAAGAAAAAGGAACGAAAAGTAATTTTAGCTCCTCTGTTTTTTTCTTTTCTTTTGGCCCACTCTCTTTTTCTCTCTTGACACCAAGTTACTGGTAAGTACCGGAATTTATGGCGCGCGATGCGGGTCGGACCAACAAAATACCACGGCCTACTTTTGAGAAAGCCGGTAGCACGATGGCGATTATGTCACCGAGAGAAAGGAGGGTGCGGGTGTGGGAGATTAATTGCCTACGCTGTTTTAGGGCGCAGCGCAATACGTACATTAAGGTCTTGCCCCGCGGTGATCTCGATTCTTAACGCGACACGTTCGGTCCGGATCAGTTCCTTTAATTGTTAAACACGTGGACGGCGTCGACGTAAAACTATGCAATTCGTTCAAAAGCATAAGAAAAATACTCCGATAAGCTCTGTTGCCTCGTGACTTGTTTATGCTACTGAGGTACTTTGGCGTCGTG